TAAAACAATAGTCATCTTCATCAAGGTGGGAAAATATGACAGAATGTTGCCCGAGTGCTAGATTTTTTGCACAAGGTTTTTAGTAGTTATATTTTCAAGAACTGTATAAATCAAACTTATAGGAAAAAATGTTTTTCCAAAATTTTCCATTTGAAAAATGGACACTTAAGAAAGCCTGGCCCGTAAATAAAAATTACCCACGAATTATTGTCAAAACAATTACCGCCCCCCAGTGGCACAGTGGTATGTCTGAGGACTTAGAACGCTAGAAACCGGGTTTCGATACCCGTGGTGGGCAGAGCACAGATAGCCCTTTGTGTAGCTTTGTGCTTAACTTCAAACAAACAGACAAAACAATAACCATATAATATGGCTATTTAAATAAAACTCGAAAAGTAAGAAAATCAACAAAAAATGCTAATAAATCATTGTTATATCTGAAGAATAGTGAAAAATGGTGTATGAAGTAAAAACTATGCCCAAAAAACCTTTACTAGAACTTAATAGAAGGTTATGGAAATATGTATTTATCTTGCTTAAAAGGAAAGAATCATATTTTAGCTGAACAGGGTTGCCAAATTTATTAATTAAAATGAAATCAAACACATATAAATAAAACAATTCTAAATAAAACAATAAAAATTCTGTCAATGTGACTTAAACAATACCTTTTGAAAATCAGTATTAATACTGACATACATGTTGACAATCTTATTATACTCATTTTTTTTTAGATTAAGGTGGACGGAGGATATGTTTTCACTCCTGTGTGTGTGTGTTTCTGTCAGCAAGATTTCTTTAAAACGGCTGAATGAATTTGACAAAAGTTGGTAAACATTTGGACTGTTACTAAGCCTAGAAGCGATTAGTTTTTGGTGGGTTAAAGTAAAAGGTCAATGCCACAGCAAGGTCGCGAAAAAAAAATTCCTATCTGTTAACATGGGGACCGATTTTTCACACTATTTTTTCAGTATAACTCAGTCAAAACTTTATGAAACTTGGTAAACATATGTAGAATATTATTCCTCATTGTCGTGACAAAAATGGTCCGTATCAGTTAATAACGATGGACATACAAACACATTTTCGTATTTTTTGAGAGCCGAATGTGAGGAGGAATGCGCTATAATAACTGCCCCTCTAGTTCGAATAGCTATTTAATTCGTTTTCACTGTATCAAAAGATAACTGATGCTACCATTTATACTTCATATTTAATACAAAAATTTATGTTTATCAGATTATTAATGGCTGGAGACGGCTTGAATGGGTAATGAAGAAAAACTTTAATGACCTTCACAAATTTAGGAATTAGCTTTTCAGAGCGGCACTGTCTTAGGAAGGAAATATCGTTTCTCTTTTTGATGATTTTTATATTCAGGTTACGTAGTTTAAAGATGGTTTCACAGTATGATTGGTTTATGGTAGTGGATTGGTGAGAGAACATACTATTAGTCTCAAAGTGGGTTCTTCGTCATCGAATTTATTAGATTATGTTTTTCGACATATGTAGCTTTTAATAACTTATGTGCACCAGTTGATAATTTCATTTTCAGGTCAAACAATTTGAACTTGCTTGATATTACGTCAGATTTCAAACCAAACAATAACAAAAAATATTGCGGTGACAATTTCATGGGTTGGACAGACAGTTTGTTTTTTGTTTGTTTGTTTGTTTG